GGTGAGGGAGGGAATGGGGGTTAAAAGGCTGCGCTTTTGCGACGGCGGCGTCGGCGGCCGGGGCTGCGTCGGCGGCAGCGGGCGCGGGCGCGGCGCCGCGGTGGCGGCAGCGGCGGCGGTCGTGTGGTACGGATCCGAAGGGTGCGGCGGCGGCGGCGGCGGCAGCGGCAGGTCTGAGGATCCCCTATCGATTGTGCGGGATGCACCGTCGGTTGTACGGAATGTACGGCAGAAGCGACGGGTGGAACGGTAGGGCCGGTGCTCTCTCGTGCGTGCTCTCCCGGGACAGCGGCAGTCGTGGAGGCGGAGGCGGCGGCGGCGGCGGCGCCGCCGCCGACGTGGACGGAATGGGATGAAACCGCGGATACCACAGCGCCGACGGTGGCGGCGGCGGCGGCACTGCCGACCAACACACCGACAGACGGACGCTGTACGGCAGTTGAGGCTGCATTTGTAACGGTCGCGCCCTGCCCACCAGATGGTGCTGAATCAATGCCGCCGTCGCCGCCGGTGATTGCGGTGGCTGCGCGCGCCGGCCGTGGCTTGAGTACGACAACAGCTGCCCTAGACCGAGTAGCAACGTTTTCCCCGGCCGGATGCGGCGGTGCCGGCGGCGGCGGCGGCGGCGGCTGGACGTCCCCCTCAATTTCACCAGCAACCCAGTTGGCCACGTCCCCCAAGGCCCGACAAGGTTCCCGACCCTCCACCACCTCCTGCTGCTGCTGCTGCTGTTCTTCCTGCAATGGCAGTAGCAGCGGCTGTGACGGCTGCCGTACGTCGCCCTCCGCCACCTGCACAGCAACCAGTGATGCTTCTGGCCCCTCCCCTTCCGGGGCCTCCTGGGGGAGGAGCTGCTGCTGCTGTTGCCGGTTGTGGTGGTGGTGGTGGTGATGGTGGTGTTGGTGCGAAGACTGGTGCGGATGCGAGGGAAAGGCAACTGAGCGGTCCAAAGGCAGCGCCTCCGCCGCCTCCGGCATCTCAGGCTCCGCCGCCGCCTCCGCCGCCTCCGCCACTAAACCACCAGCGGTAGCTGGCTGCGCTGCTGCAGCTGTAGCCCCCGCCGCCAATGACAGCGAAGCTACAGCCCCCCGAACGTCGGCGGAATCCGGTTCCTGCGCCGCTTCTGCTACGGCAGCTACTGCCGTTGCAGCTGCCTCCGTCGACATGGACGATGCCCGCTGCCGCCGCCTCCGCCGCCGCGACGAGGCGAGCAGATCGTCCGCCTCCGCCGCCACTGGGCTTCCAGCTACTGCCGTAACTGGGGCTGCTGTAGCGCTTGTGCTAGCCACATCCGCAGCTACAGGTTCTTCTGCTACAGGCCCTTGGCGTCGGCGGAGGACCCGCCTTGCCGTACGTGCACGGGCCACCACCGCAAGATGGAGGCTGGCGGGACCGCTCCACAGCACCGCTGATGCTGACGCTGTCGACGAATGCTGCTGCTGCCGCTGAGGTGGTGGCGGCGGCGGCGGCGAACCACCGTGGACCTCTGTCCCGGTGGCGGCAGCGGCGGCTGAGGGCGCGGGAGGGTCGCGCGGCGCTGGCGGCCCTGAATTTTCCTTCATTTGCAATAATTGCAATCTGTTTTCCCTCATTTTCTGCAGGGACGTGGAGAGCAACCAACGATGTGAAGGGCTCATGCGAAGGCGAAGGTCCGGCGACGGCGGCGACGACGGCAGCGGCGGCGGCAGAAGGTTCCGCCGGGAAGCACCACTGCGGGAAGCACCACCACCACCGCCGCCGCCAGCGAGAAGGCCGTGGGCGGCGGTGCTACCGTACGATATGCCGTACTCGTCTAGCACGGATGGTGTTATGACGCCACGGAGCAGCTTTTCGAGGCGCTCGATTTTACGACGTTTAATGTCGTTGGTCGCGATGAGTTGGTCGGCGGTGAGGGCGATGGAACCGTGGCCGATACTGGCGGCCTTGCCGCCGCCGCGGATGTACGGCATGGCTGGATCGATGGAGTCAGCAGCAAAAGCTGCGCTGGGTGATGTGATTTGGACCTGTGTGGCACTGTGTGCGATACTGGAGCTACGGGGAATGGGAGCCCGGGTTGCAAGAGCAGGAGGGATGTCGGCAGCAGCGCCCAGGGCGTGCGATGGCGATCGTGGCGTGCGCATAGTGGGGAAAAATGGTTGGCGTTCCGTGCTCGTGGCACTGGGCACTGGCAAGGAGTCGTAACCCCCGAAGCCGCGTCCTGTAGTCCTGCCGAGTAGTCGCGATCCTGCTGAATGAGGCGCCGACGCTGGCGGCGCCGGGATGGAGACCCGAGCAACCAAGGCCGATGGTGGCCCGGTCAAATTTGACATGACTGTTACTGCTGAGCTCGCTTAAGTCGATGTTACGCGCTGCGTGGTGTTCGCGGTACGCCGGAAAAGTATGGCTTTAGCGCAACGTCGAGACATGACTGCGGACAGCTTATCCACTGTTAGAGAGTACAGCTGCACATAATCTATGTAGGTCAACAAAGAGGATTTAGCGCTGTCCTACCTAGTTAACAAAGCCTCACAGTACGGGACATAGTAACGAGCCAGAGCAGACCAATTAATTTACCAAAGCTTAGGTAATAACTTCCAAGTTCAAAGGATAATTTACGCGAGCCGTTCGCTTCAGGTGGACAGCCCTTGCATACTGGTGCCTTGCCAGCAATATTCAATTTGGGGACCACAGAAAGTGATCTACGTGGACTCTAAAACACACTCCATCTGCCTAGAATTTGCAATGGCATTAAGGCAGCTTCGAAACCACATTTGTCATATATAGGAACTGTACGTGATTTCTGGTTTCTCAAACCATACTCGCGAGCAGCATTAATTGAGCTGCTAACATCCTGCTAATGCTAAGCATACAATACGCGGGCAATGTCCCGCCTTTAGCCAAAGTCACAAAGTAGAAATCATTTCCATTATGGTTAACGGCTTGACGTTCAGGTGATGTTCGGATTGCGAACGTTGAGACGTAACAAAAAATGTTTTCTCACAACATGTTTCTTAGGCTTGGGTGCAATGCTAGCCGCTAAGTGCCAAGCAGCGACACAGCCCCGCAACTTCGCCCAATGGCACGCAACCCATTAGTAATATGTCCTTGACATTACCAAGGATTAAAAAATCTTAAGAAATAAACGCGTCATAAGTTGAGCCAACACATGAGCGATGGCTGGTGGTAGAGTCTTGAAGCTTGAGAAAGCCTCCGGAGGCAAGTAGGTAGATAGGTACGTAGGTACGTAGGTAGGTGGGTAGTAGGTAGGTAAGTAGGTGGGTGGGTGGGTAGGTAGGTGGGTAGGGGTAGGTAGGTAGGTAGGTGCACACCATCTCCGGCCCCGGTCTCTGATGCCTTCAAACCCATGGGGACTACCGCCACGGGGACAGTTTTGCTTGCCTGAAAGTAATACCCACAACCCACAGGCCACCATCCGTCGCAAAAAAATACCTCCGCTCCGCGCATCGTCCCGCCCTCCCGCGCCCGCGCCCACTCCTCCTCACCCCTCTCGTCCCCCCCTGATTTCCCCGCCCTGACTTCTGTCCCATATCGGACCCTCACCTTGCATCGCTTCTATGCTTGCTTCGCTTTCTTCCATGCCTTCTTGCCGTACGCCCTACTCATCCACTGGAATGTTGTTCCTGTTGTACAATAGGCTAACCAGGAAAAGGCGATTGTAATCATCATGACGTCATGACGATTATCCTTGAACGCGTTGAAGCGTTTAAATGACCCTAACGAAGTCTACTGACCCCTAAACACGGTTTTATTTAACCTGTTTAACGCGCTCCTCGGTATGTATCCAGCACTATTGTGTAGTGGCTGGTTCTCCAGTTGATTCTGATGTTGTTTGCGATGTGCTGTTGTTGAAAAAGGAATGGGGGCTGGAAGCTGGGCGCCAAAGCGGCAGCAAGACATATCGCGGCAGACACGTCATCATCATCATCATCGTTATCATCATCATCATCATCATAATATTATTATTATTGTCATTCGGCCGGCGTGTGTCGATTTCACCAGCAGCACTTTCACACTTGCTCAGGGAGAGGAGAAGGGGCTTGGGAACACATGCCGGGACAGGAGGAAGGACTGAGAATGGCGAGAACGGCGGAGGAGTGCAAAGGGTGACAGTTATCATAGGTGCACGTGGTAAAGGGCCAACCGGTGATCAATTATGACGATGCTCTTTTCGTTTCATTTAAGACAGAGGATTGTGTGAGTGTGTAAGTGTGTGTGTGTATATGTGTGTGTGTGTGTGTGTGATAGGCCTGCAGGAATCGTATTCCCAAATCAGCTGCTCAGCATCGCCGGGACCGAAACCACCACTCTGCCACCATTCCCGCTCTGCAGCAGGCGGCCAAACGACCGCCAAGCTACCACCACCACCACCACCACCACTAACACCAATCTTATGCGCACGTCAACACCTAAGGTATACATGGTGGGAACCGGGCCGGAAACCCCCCCCCAACATACTCCTCCTCCCCCACCCACCCCCCACACAAACAACGCAATATAACCCCCTCTCCCCCGACCCAGCGTTAAGTGTGGAGGAAACTCGGGAAACTGAATAACGTCACTCAATCGTTCAACGTTCCTTTTGCAATCCTACCTTCCTTTTCCTCCGCCGCAACCCCACGCGCTTCGACACATATACATACATACATACCACCCTGTAACAACATACATACATACATACATACTACATACATAAAGACAGACATAAAGACAGACAGACAGACGAACCAGACACAGCCTGGACATCCTCCGAGTCGTTTTCACGAAACCCACACACCCAGTCTTTTAGTGAACCCTCACCCCAAGAGCCAGATCAGGCCGGAGATGGAGAGGAGAGTCTTGTGTGTGTGTTTCAGAGGCTCAGTGAACGCAAACTCGCGTGACGGAGCCTCTTGACTCGTGAGAGTGTGAGAGCGTGCGTGCGATGCTTTCACCCTCCCCCCCCCGGGGGATGGGGAGAGCGGAGCTAGCGGACCTGCGGCTCTCGGCTGCTTAGGAGGGGGCAGAGGCCCCTACCTACCGTGAAAGCGTGTTGGGCAGAGGCCCCTCTAGCGCCCCTCTCCCGTCCGCGGGAGAGCTTTTAGGCGGTCTTATCATCACAAATATCACATATTTCCCCCGTCCTCCTCCTCCCAGAAGCTTTCACAATATGCCCAAAGCAGCCAGTCCATATCTCCTCCTCCTCCTTCTCCTCCTCTTCCTCCAACCCAAACGACCCCTATCAGTCCCTCCCTCGTCCCCCTTCTCTCCTTCCTCTACCTTCCCCCCTCCTCCGCTCCCACCAATCGATCTTCTCTTCCTCCCCTCCTCCGCCCTTTCTCCCCTCCTCCTGCTTCGAAGCATAGGCAGCAAAGGCTCTTCCTCTCTCTCTTTTTGGGTGTTGTCAACAGTCATCTAGTTAACCTTCACATGTACATGATTGAACAGCCCCCCCTGCTCCATTCCCCCCGGGCGCCCCCCCAAAACACGCAGACACACACATATACGATATAACGCCCCTCCATTGACGGAGAGTGCTTCGGCGGTGTGTTCATTCCCGCTGGGGTACGGTACGGTTACTGGTGCCCCCCTGGCCAGTGTCAGGCCCGGATCGATATGTAACAGATATACATACAGACGCACAGATAACAAATATTCCATATTCTCCAGAGAGCATCTGTTACATTTAGCTCCCCCCCTCGTCTTTTCCCCCCGTGCCCTTTCTCCAACAACGCCTCCTCCGCCATTCGGCTCCTCTTATCACCAACACGCAACCGCATCATCCCGTCCTCCGCAACCACATTCGTCTCCCTTCCCTTCCCCTCCCTCCTCAATCCCCCACCCTTCTCTCACTCCTACAACGGCGCACACATACATGCCACACCAAGCTCCGTTGCCACGCCGCTACTTACGTGCCGTGCTGCTGTACCCCTGAGGGGCACCCTGATCGCTCTACCGACGATTCGTAAAAAACGACAGGTTCCGAATGACGTCATCCAGGCCAGCGGCGCCGCCGGCGCCGGCGCCGGCGCCGCCGCCGCCGCCAGTGATGCCGTCGGACACTCCGCCGTCCCCAGCCACCTTTTTAATCGCTTGGGTGAGTTCGTGGAATTTCTGGAAGTATAGCTCGGACTGGTCCGACATTCCCACACCACCACCACCACCACCGCCTCCTCCTCCTCCTCCGTGTTCCAGACCTTGTGCCAGATGATGTGGTGGCTGCTGCTGGTGCTGGTGTTGCTGATGCTGGTGCTGCAAGTGTTGGGAGGTTTGCTGTTGCTGTTGCTGAGGTGAATGCTGTTGTTGTTGCTGTTGTTGTTGTTGTGCCGCCGCGGCTGCTGCTGCTGCGTGTAGTGTATGATGTGACTGGTGGCTGGGGTGCATGGCGCCCACCATATGGCCCGGCGGCTGGAGTCCGGCGGCGGCGGCGCCGCCACCTCCACCTCCTTGATGGTGGTGCTGCTGGTGGTATTGCTGCTGCTGATGTTGTTGCTGTTGTTGCTGGGGGTGCTGCTGCGGCTGGTTCAGTTGTTGTTGTTGGTGGTGGTTACCAGTATGCGCATGGTTGTGGGATCGCTGGTGTTGCTGATGTGACGGGTGGTGGTGATGGCTAGCGGCGGCGGCGGCGGCACCGCCGCCAGCTCCGCCAGCAAAGCCCTGCAGTGCGGCCCCTCCAGGGCCTCCAGGATGCAGCGGCGCCGGCCCGGCGGCAGCGGCGGAGCCGCCGCCACTATGCACGTGACGGCGCCCTGGAGGGTATGAGCCCGGCGCCGCGTGGGCCGGTGTGTACGACGGGTACGATGGATGGTGACCGACGCCATGGGGATCGGCGGACGCGGATGCCGGGTGCGCACCGCCGCCTCCGCCGGCGGCGGCGGCAGCGGCTCCGCCGCCAGGCGCTGCCGCTCGAGCTGGGTAGGCATGTGGGTGGCCGTGACCGGCGGCTGGGTGCGAAGCCACTGGTCGCATCCTCATTTCGGTTGGCGGCGGGCCGGGATCTCCGACCTCGTCTGCGGCACGGCGGAGTTTCAGGGAGGTGGGCACTCCATACACCATACACTCCATACACTCCATACACCATATATATAGGGTATATATATATACCCCAACCTTCCTTCCTAGGCATCATCGAGGTTTTATCATTGCCGTGTCGTATACTTATCGCCCCATGTCCTGATGGATTGCAGGGGAGGCTGCAAGGGAGGCTACAGTCCCGTACAGTGCCGTACATATGCGTGCAGCAAACAAAATCCAGAAAATTACGCAAACAGGCAGAGAGTTTCCCCCCCAAAAAACATGAATTTGGGTTCACTTAACCACCACCACCACCACCAACAACAACAAGAACAACAACAGCAGTAGTGGTAGTAGCAGCAGCTCACCTACAAAATCCATCTGCGGTAGGTTCGCCGGTGGTTGACCCAAGTGGTGTGGGTGATGTGCGTGTGGGTGGGGGGGCCCCCTCAAGACACCCCCCAGGCCGCCGCCGCCGCCGCCGCCCGACGAGCCGCCGCCAGCACCACCACCGCCACTGCGCGAGTACGGCACACGAGACGGTGGCGGCATGACGCCGTGGGAAGGGTGGTACACATGCGGCGGCGGCACGTGAGGGTGCGACGGCGGCACGGAGTACGGCACGGAGTACGACATTGCGTACGGGTGACCGGCGGCTGCAGCAGCCGCCAGCTCTTCCTCCTCCTCCTCAACGCCATAGTACTGCGGACCTTCGAAATAGTACGGCTCGCCATTGGCATCCGTGTAATAATGACTCGGGTGCCCCGGCGGCAGCAGTACGCCGCCGTGGCTGTGACTGTACGGGATGCCGTACGGCGGCGGGCCGTACGGATCCATCGCGTCCATCGCTTCCGGCGGGTAGCCACCAGGCACGACTCGGGGATCGTACCCTGGCGGCAGCATGAGGGCGTGCCCTGTTTGGGACACGCATGAAATACATCCGTTGTCGTACAACCAACCGTACGACAGATCGATGAAAAATATGTGTGGCTTCACTATCAACCTTTCTTTTTTCGGAAGATAAGAAAATTTAATCCTAGAATATTAATTTATCCCGATAATGCAGCTCTCCGATATCACTGTCTACCCTTATATATACTTCATATCACTGGATTTAGATCAATCATTTAAAAGGAATGATTAAATGACTGTCAGCTTTCTTTTCACGCAGGCCATCCGCTTCCTGTCTCACTAAAAGTTGTAGCTGTTTATAAATGAATATAAAATTTTAAAGCATCTATCCATCTATCTATCTATCCATCTACCTAATACATATATGTACATATATACATATATATACATATATATACATATATATACATATATATACATATACATACATATACATACATATATATACATATATACATATATATACATATTCTCTGTCGCCTCACAGCGCTCACAGAGTTCAAAGGCGCTACACAAAGAGGGGTGCTGGTGCGTCTCCCTCTTTTCCCCCCCTCCCCCGGCCTCAGGCCTCCCCCCCCGATTTAACTCCCACTTCCTGACAGCGCCCACCAAGACAGACCGCCATACGACCGTACTCACCACGGCCCGGAATGGGCTCCTGACCCTCTACGCTGCCGCCGCCGCCATCTGCCGCCGGGTCGCCGCCGCCACCTCCAAGTCCCTCGCCGTCGGCGCCCTGAGACCCGAGGCCTCCTGCCGCAACACCACCTGCCGCCGCCGCCGCCGGAGCCCCAGCTGGCGGATGACCAGCGGCGGTGCCGTACGGTGGATACGCTGCCGCCGCCGCGGCGGCGGCGCCGGTTCCAGCAGCACCGCGAACATGCAGGTGCCCCACGTGAGCAGATCTGCCGCCGCCGGCGCCGCCAGTGCTGGCGCCGGCGCCGCCGCCGGCACGAATGAGATGGCCTGCGTGCGGCGCCCCCGCCGCTGTTGCCGGCGGCGTGTAGCGTGTACTGCCGGCAAGTGATGTTCGCTTGGGTGGCGGAAGCAAGGGGTCGCTGTACCACGCCGCCGCCGCTGGGGCGGGCGGTGCTCGAAGAGGTACGGCGGCGGCAGCGGCGGCGGCGCCGCCGCCGCCACCACCACCACCGCCAGACCCTCGCGAGCTGTTGACCGGGCGGAACATGGCGAGATTACAACGACAACAACAACAACAACAAGAAGCAGTGCTGCGTTTTGGAGATTACCACTACTGTGTAACATTACAGCTTCCCGAGGCATTATTGATACGTTCCATTCCTCACAAATCAGGACATACATCAGGACATACATCAGGACATACATCATGCAAATCGCGTTGAGCGAGGCGGCGGCCAGGCCGCCGCCCCTCGCTCCCTGGCCGTTTCCGTTGGCCGTACGTTGCGGGTCAGCGGCGTCAAAGCTGTGCTGCTCTGTGCTATGGCGTGCTATGTTATGATGTGGCGTGATTTCAGAGCAGGGAAGGGGGGAGGGGGCCAAAACACACACGAACTCACCCCGGAGGATAGCGGGAGCTTCCGACACCCCCCACACCAGGGTGGCCGCCGCTCGTGGCGGCGCCGGCAGGGTACGGCGCGCCACCGTAGGCATACGGGTAGCCACCCGGCGGGGCCGCGGCGCTATTTCCGTACATGTCGTATCCATAATCGCCTCCCATGGACCCGTGGGATGCTTGGCGCATGCCGGGCCTTGATGGCGCCGTCGGCGGCGCGCCGTCGGCGCCAGGGCCGTTGGCACCCCCCGCCAGCGCCGCCGCCACCCCCGCCAGTGCCGCTAGGGGATCGTGCTGCTTTCCGTCTTGTACCCCAGGAATCCCGGCGCCTTGTCCCGGTCCCCCAGCTGCGGCCATACGGCCGTCAGCGTCCTGAGGAGCGCCGCCCTCGCCGCCGCCGTCAGCCAAATGGCCGCCGGGTCCGTGCGCGCTGCCGCCGCCTGCGGCGGCAGCTCCGCTGCCGCCGCCGCGGCCGCCGGCCGCGGGCATTGCACCGGCACCGGCAGCGCTTCCGCGACCAGCAGCAATGGGTCCGTTGGCCTCCGCCACGCCTCCGGCAGCAGTGACGGCATGACGGCGATATCCGGCCCGCGGGTGTACGGCAGCCACAGCCGGCGGTGCCAGCGGCACGCCGTCAGGGCTCAGTGCGCCGGCAGGTCCCAGCCCGGGGTCTGATCGGGGCCCGGGGGCCGCCCGTGAGTGAGGGAGTACGATGGGACCCGCGTGGGGTGCGTACGGCGGCGGTGGGCCGTACGGCCCAGCCTCTGGATCTTCGTCGTACGCATAATACATGTGGTAGGGTGCGTAACGATAGGGCCCATGGGGCTCGTACACAACAGGTACGCCGTCCTCGTCGTACCCAGTGAACGGGTAACCCCAGTAGCCATAAGCGTACGGCACTCCATGCTCGTCCACTTCTTCGTACTCCGTGGCCATGGGGTCAAGGCCGGCGTGGTGTGGATGCATCCCCGACGGGTACATCAGATGCTGCGGCGGCGGCATCCGGTACTGAGCGTACATATCATCATCATCGGCGGCGGCGGCGGGGTCGTGCGGGTGCAGCGCACCGTACGGTGGCGGTGCCCCGTACGGCCCTCCGCCGTACTCCAAGGTATGCATCGACGGCGGCCCGTACGGCGCCCCATGCAGATCCTGCGGCGCCCCGTGAGGCCACAAGTGAGGCGGCGGGCCGTACTGCAGGTCGGCATCCGGCGGGTACCCGCTGGGCCCCGTGCCAGCGGCGGCGGCGGCGGCGGCGGTGCCGACGCCACGTCGGCCGCTTCCGCCAGGACCGTCACGCGCCTGCGCCAACTGCCCCACATCCGACGACGTCGCGACCTGATCGTGCGGACCTTCCATATCGGTGTTGTCGACGCCGCCAGGAAGAATGCCGCCGGTACCTGCTGGGCCTTGCGCGCCCGCTGCAGCGGCCGCCACCGCGGCCGCCGCGGCCGCTGCCGCGCCAAGATCGCTGGGCACCACCGTCAACGCCAAATGGTGGTGCTGCATACTGTGGTCCTGCTGTGCGCCGCCGCCGACTCCTCCTGCTGCCAGGTCATGGCCGCCAGCAGGGCCCGCCAGCGGCGGCGCTGAGCCCGCTGCTGCCGTACTGACAGACCCCCCTGCCGACATAGTGGGACCTGCTGGCGTGCCCTTGTACGGCGCCGCCGCCGACGGCGGTACTCCCGGGCCGGTGCCGGCGGCTCCGGTCCCAGCGAGCTGCGTCCCGCCACTTCCCAACTGCCCACCGGCCAGTGCTGGCCGAATGGTGGGGATGGCGGCAGCGGCCGCGGCGGCGGCCGCCTGACCTGAGTTGCTTCCCGCCCCTGCCCCCTTGCCCTGACGCGCGACTGCAGCGGCGGCAGTGGGGTTGGCAGCCACAGCCGCAGCAGCAGCCTGTACAGCAGCCGACGCAAGCTGGCTGTTGCTGGCCACGGCGGCAGCGGCGGCGGCCGCCGCAGCGGCGGCGTTGCCCACTGAGTTGGATCCAAGTCGACTGGTTCCGCCGCCACCGCCGCCGCCGCCCCCACCGCCGCCGCCGCCGCCGGCCGCGGCCGTCGACGGGGGCCCTTTCGATGAGCCCCTCGGCCCGCGAGCCGAAGCCTGCGACCCGATCCCCAAGCGACCAGCCTTGTTCGGTACGGCACGAGCGGCCATTTGCTGCGGCACAACGGGGAACAAGGGGCATTACGGGGCGGCTTGATGAGGATTATACAAGTGTACGATGGGATAAATAATGAGATTGAACCTCCAAACAAAACTCATTAATTATTAAGTAGTTATAAAGCCCAGCATGGGGTGGTTATGATTCTCGCTTGTGGGTTATGATTTGCGGCCGCGGTGCGGCTGCTGTGCCCCGGTGTCAGAGGAGAGCGCCGGGAGTTGTTCCCTTTTCAGCGCGTTTTCATTGAGGCATCCGCTGTACGACCATCTGCTGTACGACCATCCGCTTTTCTTCTGCTGTTAGTACCATCCCCTGTGCGACTATTCGCTGTACGACCACTCGCGCGTGTCGTACTGCACGATATCAGGTCCCCACCTGGGCCACCTCCTCGGGGAGCAGGTCCCACCGGACGTTGGGCATTGTCTCTGCACCCTGCACAAACACACAGTGCCACGCACAGAAAAATATGGAGGCATGGAGATATGGAGATATGGGGGGAGAGAGCGAGAGAGAGTGTGTGAGTGTGTGTGTGTGAGAGAGAGAGAGAGCGGTATATGTATATTAAAGAAAGGAAGGTATATACATACATACATACAGGAGGGTCTAGGAACTGTGTGTCGTGGCAACGCTATCACTCTATCGCTTTTGTGGTTTCGCCGGTCTATCCCGGGCCCCTGCAGTGGTGATCAGGCTTGTGCGGGATCCCTTTTCTTTATAAGGCTACTTCTCCCCTGGACCAGCCCAGGAAGGGACAGGTGGTGGAGAGTTGTTTTAAGGTGGTTGCAAGACGTCTTGTGGTGTCGAGCTCTCTTAGCCTTTCTCTCTTGGAGGGTTTTTGTTGGCCTGTTAGGTATATCAGGAGCCCTCCCCTGCCGGGACTGCCTTAACCGAATTTTTGTTTGTTTCTTTTTTACCTTCGAATCCCGTTTTCGTTGGTGGTGTTTTGGGGGGTTGTTTCAGAGAGCCTTTGACTTTGCCCTAGCTGAGACTTGTACGGCCCACAGTGTAATCTAAGTCATACATACATACATACATACATACATACATACATACATACATACATACATACATACATACATACATACATACATACATACATACATACATACATACATACATACATAAAAGAACAATGCAACGGGGTATCGTGTCCAAAAACTATACATTACCTTTACGCAATGCCATTTTCAACTCACTCCAGTAAAACATGCAAAAATTCTTCTCTTTATCCTTCTGTCTGGACAGCTATGACTGGATGCAAAATCAAACCCAAAGTCCAAAACCCAGATACGACGAATGACGAACCAAGCAAGGTTTTAGCTCTACCAAGACTACTCACCACTCGTGGGTTTGTCTCGTAATCCAGGTACGAAAAATTCGTCTTGGCCTTGGTGCCTTTCTGTACGATGGCGGCCGCGTCGTACGCCAGTCCTGCCTCATGTGCCGTACCAAAGGAACCCAGCCAACGGCGCTTGTCGCCGTCACGAATCTCAGCGGCAAACATGCCCCACTTCCGCATGCGAACCCCCACATACCCCGTCTGGTTGCGGCACGGGGAGTCCTTATCGGCCTCCGAGCCCCCATCCCCTAGGGAACCCAGGTGGATTCCACCCCCGCCGCCCAGGTGGTGTGTTCCGCCCGCCACCATGCGAGCTACAGCCCCGGCGCCGCCGGCCGCCGGCGGCGACGGCGACGAGCGCTTGCGCTTCCGCGCGTCGCTGCCAGCGCCGCCGCCGCCGCCAACCGCGTGACCGTCCAGTGCCCCTTGCGCGTGCTGTGCCGCCGCGGCCGCAGCACTGCGCTGCGCCGCCATCAGCGCCGACGCCGCCGCTGCATGCACCAACGCAGCTTGAATGTTCAGCTGGCTCAGTGGTCCAGTGCCGGCTCCGCCGGCGGCGGCGCCGCCAGCGGCGCCGGCGTTGCCAGTCGCGGCAGCTCCGCCGCCGCTTCCTGCCCTGGCTGTACCTCCGTTACCGCCGGCCGCAGCGCCGACGGCGGCGCTGCCGCTAGATTGCTGCTTGGCTGCTAGCGTAGCTAAAGTCGACAGGCTAACGTTATGCAGCGGCGCAGCGCGCGGCAGCTGCAAGCCGCCCGCCGCTCCGCCCGCCGCGGAACCTGTAGTGCCGCCAGCTCCGCCGCCAGCTCCTGGGTTTGATCCCGTCACCCCTGATTGACTCGCCGTAAGCGCTGCCAATACGGCAAGTACGTTAGGTGCCATCGGCAGCGTCTGCTGCTGCTGCTGCTGTTGTTGTTGTTGTTGCTGCTGTTGGGAGCCTAGACCTGAAACCATCTGTTCCATCGTCCCGGTCAGAACACCACCTCCGCCACCCTGCTGTGTCTGCGACCCGTACGCAGCAGCGCCGCCGCCGGGTCCGATGCCTTGCAGGCCCTGCTGCCCAAGCAAGAGCTGAATGTTGCTAGGCGACCCAGCTGCTGCTGCTGCTGCCGCCTGCGACATATCCTGAGTACTGTTGTTCGTGTGGTATGGCTGTAGTGCCCCGCCGTGGCTAACGCCGTTGGCAAGGTCCACGCCCTGTGACTGCGTAGTAGCGCGTGTAAGATGATCATTCCCAAGCGCGGGCGCTCCGGAACCAGACTGCATGGCCAACATCTCGCTGGATAACGGGGACCTGCCCGCGGCTTCGCCGCCACCGCCACCGCCGCCACCACCGCAGGCGCCGCTGCCGTGTATCTCGTCCATCATGGGCAACGCCGCCGTGTCAGCAAAAGAAAAAGACAGCTGGGTTGGCTGGCTGCCAGGCTAGGCATTGCCTCCTTCCAGTGTGGCAGGGAATGCCCTACTATCGTCTACGGGCTACGAAACGGGCTACAGCGGCTCTCCTGGGTGCGCAATGCAGTGTGATCGGCTCGGTGCAGGAAGTGCCTCCCTTCCGCCTCCTCGCGGCTCCTGATGGGGACCTGAGGGTATGATGGATGATGAGGGGAAGCCGTTAGGTGAGTTCGAATCTTGGAGGGGCTTGCAAGCAAGGGCTTGCTGGACGTTTTTGCGTGTAGGGGGGAAAGGGGAACTTACCGGGACCGTAAGTTCGCTAGAGGGTGTTTGCGCTTTTGGGTGTGTGTGCTGAGGATGACGTTTAAAGGCGTATCAACGAGCTGGAATGATAGATGCGAGGTAAATTTATGTAAGAGGCTGCGTGAACAAGGGCTTGATGGGAAAGCGGGATGATATGAGGGCGGGACGAAGCTTGGCTTGGGGAAGGGTGGCACCCATAGGGGACGGAGGAGCTCCCATAAGTTTTGGGTCTGAACGGTGGCAGCGGCCACATGTTAGAACACGCGGGAATCGAACGCTTTGGGCAGTATGGAGTTGAGTCTCGGGTCAGGAAAACGTTTTGGTTCGGGAAAAGCGCGCCTCCGCGGACATCCAACGCTGCACAAAGGCTTCCGCTGCGACGCCCCAAGAGAGGTTCCCGACCAAATCAGCAAGCGTGCAGATTCATGTTCATCTGGTCTAAGAAGGCCCAAGGCAATACCTTCACAGTTGAGGTTCATGCTCTGCCGCCGCTTAACACTGTGCAACAAACATGTAATCAGTAATTCTTAAAACTTCTGTCTTCCGATACTAGGTAGAACTTTTGGTTCTAAAGCTGACGACCAGTGTTGAGGCGTGGCGCTCTTGACAATGCCTGACGCGCGCCCACCGACCGACTTCCTGAACACTCCTATGGACCTATTATATTGGATATCAAGATTACTTAATGACCATGCGGTATATGAGTCTACAGTAGAAGAATAGGACAGGCTAAAACTCCCCTATAAGCAGTGAAGGGCTGGAAGTTGTGAAGCCCCTCTTGCCCCCATAAACCAACAAAAGGACCGGCTTGGAAATTAAACATGCATCCCTTGTGACAACACCCGGGATCACGGAAGCCCTCGCGCTGGAGAGGCCACACGGCTGGAAGAGAGCTCAACACGAGTTCCCACCTTCTGGCATGCACAGCCACCCAATCTCCTTGTTGTTGATGACAGTTGAAGGCCTCTAGACGACGCCCACCAGCCCACGCCCGTCCCACGCCCGGCACTGAATGGTGAGCGGGTCTTCCTCGCCGTCACAGTAACTGAAGACGAGTACGGTGGCTGGGTAAACTGAATCGTACTGAAATGAATTGTATTGCAGTGCTGAAGCGTTTCCGCGGTGCTGTCCCGCCCGCCTGACCCGCTCGGAAATCCTTCCCGTACCTGAACGTTTTTGCCAGGACTACTAAGTAGTGACGGATTACGATGGATATACTTAATTATGATCTGGGTGTTGAGAATGGGAAATCCTCAGCTCTGAAATGTGTTGACTTGGGGGCTGGTACTTAAGCAACGCCAGAGGATGGGACCGGAAGGGCGTAGACCGCCAGTTTTTGCAACAGCTGAAATCTGCGTTTTGAGAGCGGCCTACTCCATTTGCTGTTACGCGCAACGACCTACTCCCCTGCTGGACATTCCTTCTCGTCATGGTTCGGACGATTTGAGCACCACTTCTCCGTGCTGACGCACCGCAACGCGGCAAATCCTAACTTTCCTATAAAGTCCTGGCATGTTGCTGGGATGCTGCGAGGCCCCAACGCGTTTGGGTGGGGTTGCGCCAGTGCTTGCCGCCGGGCCCCGTGAGGGCCTAGTCCTCCATCTCCTATGATCCTTCATAGACCTAACCCGACTGCTGTTCCGACGGCGTTTGCGGTGCAGTCGTTATAATTACTACTTCTCTACCGCTACGTTGCCACCTTAGCCATTAGGCCACACCTTAGCACCACACAGGACCAACAATCCCAGGACAGCCATCCCCCTCCCAGGCGCCCTCCCCATCATAACCGCAAAAAGCACATCTGGCGCACCTGGCACTCCCCATTTTTTACGGTTGCTGTTACAATTGTTTACGGACGCGGTTGTCAAACAGAGGAGAGGCAGAGTTTCGGAACCCAGAAAGCGGCCATGCCCCCATGCGCTAGTGTGATGCGTGTACACTATTGGTTCGCAGCTGCGCTAGTACCGGCACGCGCGCGCGCACACACACACACACACACATACGCAGCCCGCGCCATCGTGCAGTGCACAGGCTGTACGAGGCAGTGATCGCACCTCCGCAGACGTAAACCTAGACAGACAGACAGACAGACAAGCAGGCAGCCCGCCAAACAGAGGATACGGGGCGCTCATAAAGCACAGCGGGCCGAGGTTCGCAGTTCGCATGTTTACATGTACCTTTCTTATCTGTTGATGTGTATGCGATATGTTCTTGTTGTTACATGGTCGTGGGTGGGTTCCCCGTATCTGCAAAACACCCTAATACGAGCCGTGGGCTCAAGGGCTGCCAGATCGCCTATAAGCACCATCCTACCTCGCACTCCAAACGAAACAAGTGATAAAGGATACTAACGGCCAAAGGGAACGATAGAGTTGCTGTGGGACCATATACGTTCCAGCATCCTTGCCAGGCGTTCAGGTTCCCACTTCATAGCGTCCTTCATGTGCTCGAAGCGTGGGAAATCCATACCAGATCTGATTTTGTCGTACACCGGACAGCAAAATGTGCTGCTCATCCTCGATATGGCTATCAGTGCCGCAGCAAGGGCATACTCGCTCCTCCCTAGGTATATGATGCCGTCCCTTACGCGCTCTGTTAGCCGCCAATGCCCAACAGCAAAGCCTAAACTGCATAAGCTTGCGATTCGCTGAACGCGGGATAAACATTGTGATATGCGGGAGCACCTCCTTCCTGCCCGCTTGTTCGGCCGCCAGACCCATCCAATGCTTATACTTCGCCATGTGAATTCCTGGTTGCTTGCCGTCTGACGGGTACACGTCTGGCTGGACATCTATACGCGTATGCTTCCAACCACTCACCAATCGGCCCTTGAACTCCAAAACTACACCTTCTGGCGTTGGCCTGCTCATCAGCCACTCCACTCGTTCGTCTACCTCATGTAGCCCTTGCGGGGCCTCTTTCCATATGTCGTGCCCCAGAAAACTTAGAAATTGGAGGAGTAGTGTCCCCCATCCGGCCCCTTAGGGGTTGGAGAGGGACTCTGCGACCTCCTGTCGCAAAACTTGGTGTGCCACAGACCCACGCTGTAAACGGACACGGTTCCAAAACCTCACAACCTGCTTGAAAACGTGGTAATGCAGGGGTAGCTGCGACAGCTCTGCAAACAGGAGGCGGTGTGTTGGTCTGGCAGCTCCCACAATTTGCCGCATGAAGGATATCTGAAGCTGCACCGCTCTGTCCTTTAGGCATGCCTCGAAGGGCCCCTCCTCAAGGTTACTCGCATCACTCCGCCTCCTGAGCCTGTCCAAGACCTTAGCTAGCATATAAACGGCCCCCACGCTTGACAACCATACAACAGTATTGCTCGTACCTGCGTATCGAAACACCTCATCCTCACATCTGGGGCGAACAACTTTAGCTTATCTAATTTTGCACTCAACGCGAACATAGCTGCTCTAGCTGTGTCACACAACTGCTGACGTATAAAACCACTGCTGATGTGTATGCGATATGGTATATACATGTATATAGGTATAACATCATCACAAACGCATCCAACAGCCAATTAAGCACCGGGTCTCCCGAAAAAGCTCTCCTTAACTCAAAGGGGAAGCCAGCAGGCTGCAGCCAAGGGGATCCCCAAACACACACACGCACAGACAGATAAATACACACGCACACATACATATATACACACGCACACACGCCCCGAAACCACCATGCCAAAGCCGCATCAAGGGAGCACAATTCACAATGCTATCCAACCATAAAAGCCATCATGGACCAGAGCCAAGTGGATTTGAGTCCCAGGCGCGGGCAGGGAGGACAACTCCCCGCGGGTCGGAGCGGGGGCGACTAAGGGCGAGGACATGGGAGGTGAGTGCTATCCATCTTCGACAGGGAATGTTTAATTATTACTTCTCTAATGTTTTGTTCGTTTAATGAAATTGATATCGGGTCAGGGTAAACAATAAAGTTAGAGGTCGGCAAATAAGGCGGGTCCTGCGGGTCCGCAGTACCGCAGTACCCGCAGCCGAAATTCGGCTTAAGGCCCCGTTAGGCTGCGGGTCTCTCATGACCAAAATTTGACCAAAAGACGTGACTCGCATCCTCTATTGCGGCCCGTAGGGCCGCGCGCTGGTGTGTTTGACTTCGGATTGTTCTTAGGTTTACTGACCAACATTATGCGCTCTCCCGCAGCCGTAAAAATCGATCTGCAATAAACCACGAGTGGTGAGGCGGTTGTCCGAAGCCAACTGCTATCTATGGAAAGTTTAACGCAGCAGGAAATTCAAAAGTAAATTTTAGTAAAAAGGAAAAAAAGATGGTACGGAATGCTGACTGCGTTGTTGACTATCTGAAAACAAGAGCAAGAGCGCAAGCATGAAAAATATTTACTTCTCGGCAGGGAACGAGCGGGAACGGAAATTTGCGAGAGCGTAAATTTGCGATAACAGTTTCCGTCCGCATCCGCAAGCAGAGTCTGGTTTCGCGGATAGGAGGATCTGGTTCCGCACTTCTCGCGCTTGCGGTACGGCGGAAAGTCAAATCCACGATTTTGCGCGCAATTTCCATATAGATAGCTGGCAGAAGCGCTCGTCTCTGAACCTTGTTTAGAAGCATGTCTGCTGCGAGCCCTGAGAAGGGTGCTGGTGAAGTTTCAAGCCAATCGACAATCGTTGAGGTCCTTGCAGTCAAGAATAAGTCCGGTAGACCCTGTGACGATACCTGGAAGTTCTTTGTTCGAGGCATTTACAACAAGACTAGCCACAGCTACGGAGCTTCTTGCAAGACCTGTCCCAAGAAGTGGACTCGTAGTAGCCTCGGCAAGCTTCGTCTCCATTTGGCTGAGGAGTGCCCTGGTGTTGCGCCTGAGATCAAAGCTCACTTTAGGTCCTTGATAGCTGACGATAACTGATAGTGGGGGATGGACAAATGACAGTGATCCTCGTCCGTCCCAACCCCTTGTGTCGAGACTAGATAAGCGGCCCTCTTCGTTGCAGCCCCTGGTGTGTCGGGAGCGGACAGTTACAGCCCCTGGGTGGGTCGGGAGTGGACAGTGAGCCACGTCCGTCACAAACAAGTACATTGAAGCCTCTTCGTGGAGATTTGCACGAGTTGGGGCCGTTAAAAGCGGTTAGGGACCGATCATCATGACAACACCCCCTTAGCACTGTTCCTGACAGGGCGCACGACCGCCATAAGTTTTCGTGTAGCTATACCATGCACAAATACATAATAATAACTGCATTTTAAGGTTTTCTAAGATATCCGCACTTTCCGAACTATTTCCGCAAAGGGTGCAAATCTGCGATAATTATTCGGATCCGCAAAGGTCGGACGACTTCCCGCTCGTACCCTGCTTCTCGGCACTATTTATATTTAGAGATGCGCCATTTCGAGTATTGACCGATACGGCTTACACACTTTTTTCAGCGCACATGTTGGCGAGGGCCCCTTTTTCTAGTTCTAGTCTAGGCCTGCAAATGAGGCCTTTATTTCCTAAGTCCTGAAGGCTCCATCTGTTCGTCAAAACGCCATTTGTTCTATCTGCTGCTTCGGTCGAAATGCACCTCTTTATATTTAAAAAAGTTGGAAGAATATAAAAGGAAAATTCACGGGAGCCGGCGAACGAACGACCGAACAAGCGGGCGACAAGCCAGGGGGAGGCTCACTTATTCCTTTTAACGGACGCATCTCTTACCCTTACAAAAACGCACCGCCAAGGTCGTTACCGTAAAGACCGTACCAGCACATCATCAGATCAACCCCCGACTGTCTTGCTTGTTTTTTTGTTTCAAAAACAGTGACAATGACGCACACGCCCACCCCCCTCCTCAATTCTCGCCCCTCCTCCTCCTCCTCCGTTTCGTGCCGAAAGGAAAGGAAAAGAAGAAAAAGGCGGAAGTTCCTTCCACCCATTAAAAAAAACAGCCAGCCGGCTATCCCACAAAACACTCCAACAAGCTGTTTTGGTAGGGGGCGATAAGGCTGTCGGGCAATCGGACGAAAACGGCGTTGCAGGCCCCCCACCGTTCCCAAACACGCAAATTCCGCCGCCGCCATCCGCCGACACACCCTACCTTCGCACTCGCACTACTAGCACGCCGGGACCGCCGTGTCGTAACGCCGCCGAGTTGGGGTGCGAGAAGAAGAGACAAACGTACCGTACACACGCAAAACACAGTATCCACACACACACGACACCTGGACACCTCACCTCACCTCGAGGTACCCTACTCTCGTTCTCTATCTCCCCCCCTCTCCCCCTCCCCCCACACGATACATTTCCTCCATAGCTCATGCATGTACTGACGTCTCCACACCTCCACCTACCCGCCGCGCCGTGAAACCCTAAGTCCCCGCCCAACCCCCCTCCAACAGAATAACCCCCGGCGCGTTCCCCCACTCACCCTTTCCACCAATCGACCTTCGCTACCTTCCCCCCTCTTCCCCCTAATTCCCTTTCACTCTAAGAAACAACAGTATGCAACAAAGCTTCCCTACGCTCTCTAATGTATGTATGTTCCAGCCACACGCTTTCGACACGTCCGTACAACCTATCGCCTCAGTACGGCAGTACGACACCATGTCGTACTGATGTAACTATTATGTCGATGTATACCAGCATGCTAGTGATGAACCCTACTCGGCAGTCAGCGCAGTCGTACAAAGCGGGTACGACGACAACAATAATAATAATAATCACGACAATGCATCCTCAAAACGGGAAGAGGAAAGGGAAACAACACACATCCAGTGCCACACACACACCCCCTCACACACGCGCCTTCGTGTACGACATAAGCACAGTGCACCCCGATGTACGTGTGGACATACATACATACGAACACACGCGTGGACTGCCACAACGCCTCGCGAGCACACAACACACACTACCACCAACTAGCTGCGTGTCCGCCTCCTCAATAACCTTCTGCGAAAAGGCATCATCGCGCACGTGCATATATACATACACACACAGACGTCGCCTTGCTCTTCCCCTTTTTCCCCCTCCGTTTGTCTGTCTGTCTGTCTGTCAGATTCTGCGAGTCCGCAACAGTTCGTCCCAACATCACCACCACGCGCCCCATACCCGGATGGATTTAAATCAAAACCATAATGACATTCGACAAGGGGCGAAACGCTCCGTCGTCATCTCGGACCGCCCCACCCCTCGCCGCCGCCGTCAACGCGCCAAACACCCCTCCATCACCCACCATCACACATTCGGCAATGCCGCTGTCATTTCCCAACAGGGATGGGAACGGATGAGAACGGCGGGGAGGCGGAGGGTGAGAAGGGTGAGAAGGAGGAGGAGGAGGACGGGAAGCAGGGGGGAAGGCGGAGGAGAGGACGGAGCCCCACGGATCAAGGGCCCGCGGGTAGCTGAGAGAGACTGACGTCACCACTACCTTCACCGTCACCATCAGAGAGAGATCAAGCTGCTGCTGGCCATGGTAGTGGTAATGGTAGTGTTGGTGACGAGAGGTAGTCCCGGACCCCCGAGAAAACTTGACCGGGGTTTGACCCGGGGGTTATGATCTGTTCGGCTCCGGGAGGGGCTCCGCATTTGGGTTGGCGTGAGGTTGTGGTTGTGATTGCGTGTAGTGGAGCGGAGAAAGTGAAGAAGAAGAAGAAGAAGGCCTCGTAAACCAACCGCGCCAACCGCATGTGCAGGTAGGTATGAAGTAGGTATGTAGGTATGCGTGCGCTTGTGTGTTTGTGGCCTAGTTGTGTTCATTAAAAAAAACTGAAGTCGCCCAACAGGTGTATGTGGAACACTTGATCAGGCAGCGTTCTCAGCTGCTGATGCGGCGTTGATGCTGTTGTTGCTGTTGTTGTTGTTGTTGTTGTTGTTGTTGATGTTGTTGTTGATTTTCAATCGCGGGGCAAGCGATGCAAGCTCAGCCTCCACCTCTCGCCAGTTTCGTACCACACGAATTAAATCCGAGTTGTGGACTCTGGTCGTACGACAGGGGAGTACGAGCGCCCGGGAAGAGAGGAGAGGGATTTGATTTTGGTGATGTTGGAGATCTCGATGATGAAAAGGCACAAGAACCGCATAGGTTGATCATTCCCACAAAGTACGACAAAATACGACAGCGCGTTGGCGGTACAGTTCCGCAAACTGAACCGAGAGACAGACTTACATACATACATGCCAGGCAGATAAAAGAGTTTAAGGCCCTCAAGCACCGCAAAAATGCAGGCAGTGGATCCTCGGGCAGCAGCAATGTACGGCACCCACGTCATGTACGGCACCTTTTGTTGTTCTGCGCTCTCTCTCTCACGTGACTCACCCTGCCGAGGGGAGTTTGCTCCAGGGATATTCCCCCTCCCAGTCGTACAGGAGCACGGTAATGCCCGCTGCCGCACACTCTAAAGCGTACGACGGGTTATCGTCTATGAGAACACGCGCGCCGATCGTCCTGCGTGATTTTTTAAATTGCGTAAAATTAATGAATTGTGTACGGAGATAAATACGGCAATTGATTTCCAAATGTTGCACACACCCATACGCGCCTGCGCACGCAAACATGCAACCCAAGATACGCACCTGCAAATTTCAGACTTTTTGCGGCTCTTTCCCTCCAGCGCAAAGTGATTGCCAAAGTAGACGTCCTGCTCAACCACATCCACGCATGTACGGCAAAAGGTAAAACGCTAAGGAGGGGCCATTCCAAACAAAAACAACTACTCATACCATGTCTGTCTGTCAGTCTATCTGTACGTCCACTTGGCCATCACGAATTCCCCCATTTCAAGGCACCAGTAAGGCTCAACCGCGTACAAAAACACATATTATATTTTAAATATCTTTTCCTAATTTTGCAGTATTGTATTACAACATTCCCACGTCATCCTCGTGGGCACAGCGACACATGTACGACACGACATTTTCCCCGACCAAGGGTACAGGCTGCTGCTACAGGCTACTGCTGCTGCTACAGCCGGTAGTAACGAATCAGCTCCTGCTACAACCCGGGGCGCCACCCGGCCAACCTGGCTATTCCGGGATGTGCATATATACCCGGGTGGGGCCCCGGGTACCAGGAATATTTTTCTTCAGGTATAAAAAATATTCCAATTACCCGTTGGGCACGCACCACCCGGCCACGCACATCCCATCAGTCCCCCAGAAAAAAATCCCTAAGAAAACCTAAAATAATATTTTTTATGTTTTGTTTATTTATTTTATTTTATGTATAAATTTATATATTTACCTGAAAGAGCCCACCGTAGTGCCGGTCCAGCCAGTCCAGCGTCACGTCCTGAATGACGTGTTGTCTGCTCGTCACAACCACCAGCTCGTACTCCGCCTCGGACAACCGAGTGAGGGTCTCAAGCGCGCCTGTGTGTATGCAGGATGCGAGGGGAGGGGGGGAGGGGAAGTAGGACGAGATGGAAATTGGGGACAAGGTGAAAATGAGGGCAAGAGAGAGTCGAGGGAGAGAGGGGAAATGTCGTACATCCCGCAAAACACACACGCAAAAGAAAACCCGACACAATAACTCACAGGTCATAGTTACCCCCATCAGTACATACATACATACATACACACAAGCACAGTCACATTTTGCCGACTCATACCGCCACCCACTATTATATCCTCCCTCTCACCTCCTCCTCCCTCTTCCCCTCCACCCGCTACCCACCCATCAATCTGCCCTCCCCTCCCCAAACGCCACATCTAGTAGTAGCAGCAGCAGCAGTAGCAGCAGCAGTAATAGCAGCAGTAGTAGTAATAGTAGCAGTAGTAGTAATAGCAGCAATAGTAGCAGCAGCAGTAGCAATAGTAGTAACACCAGTGGGACTAGATCTTTACACGTTCCCCCAACAGCAGTATCGGTACTCACAGCAGGGGTCCAAAACATAAAACACGCTGCGGCCGTACATTACGTAAAACACACACGCACCGGGTATCACGGGGATGCCATTCGTGAAGTGTTGAGACTTAAAAAACTCGTGTACGATTTGGTTCGAGCGCTCTTGTGAACATCCCCAAATCTAAGGCAAGGCGGTGCGGGGTGGGGTGGGGTGGGGTGGGGAAAAGTACGTACGTTAAAGGTAATCAAAACCGCAGACTCCCCAAAGAGTTGTACGACAGACACCGCAAATCAATTTCAGGATAAACAAGGAAAAAGAGCGGGAAAGAGAGGAGGGGGGAGTTTGGCCTAACTAAGGGCGACAGCTACCGAGGCTTCGAGGAAGGGGGGTGATGGTGGTGGTGGTGGTGGGGTGGGGTAGGGGGGGTGATAGGGTGGGCGGGTAAAATGACCTGGATCCTCGTAAAGCTGACTACCATATACGAAGGATTGTGCCGTACCATGCCGTACATGCCATACCTTGGCAAACTCGTATATCCAGTAGTCACTGACGCCGTACTCCATGCCGTACCGGTCCTTGCAAAACTGATTGAGCGCGTATACAAAACGCCCCAAGACTGTTCAACGACAGACATACAGTGTGACACACCGGGCGTGGGGCCGCGGGGTGACGGGAGGGGGTGGGGAGGGGGCGTGGGGGTTTGGGTCCAAGGGAAGATGCGGGGTGAAACCAAACGTAATGGAAAGGTAGAGCGAAGTTAAACTTACTACAGGTAGAGGGGGGAAAGAGGGGGGAGCAGCAGCAGGAGTCGCACTAGCAGCGGGGGGGGAAGGGAGGTGGGTTCCCAGGGTCACATGCCATGCCGCAGGGTGACAACGGCGGCAAACACGTCCTCCCCCCCTCTCTTACCCGCGGGAATCCCCGCCCCCACGCCAACCCCCCTCACCACTCCCCCCTGGAGTCCCTTTTCAGAAGAGGCAGAACAACAAGTTATAATTGAACAGTGGCAACAGTGAAGGTGAAGAGTATTTGAGGAGGGGAGAGGTCAGCGGACGGGAATGGTTCCACACCCGCGCACCAGCACTCTATACACTTATTACACAGAGGAGGTGCGACATACCGCGGGAAACATGAGATCCCCGTTTGTTCGTTGTATCTACAGCTTTGTTATACTATGCTGGCTTGTTGTTTCTGAGGCAGAGTAATGTGGAGAAGTAGCCATCAAGTTGAAACTGCGGTTGCGGTGACGGCTCGAAGGGTGTCAGGGATGTCGCACCTTCATCGACATCGACGGCAACGCGAAGTCGGTTGCCCTGGCTAGCGGCCGCCGGACGCGCAGACGTTGAAACGAGCGAGCTGTTTGAGGTGGATGATCCACTCCAAGCCCAGATGTCTGGTGCTCGACGACGACTTGCAGGAACAGCAAGAACAGAGCTGCCCAATTGCGTGGCACCGAGGCGGCGGACAAAGGGGCAAGCCCGAATTAAGCTGCACTGTATATTAATGTCATGTCTATAAGCTGCGGTGTGGGCCGCCCGGCAGTGAAAGCCTGGGCGCCCCATGCCGCCCGGGCTAAAAAAAAATGTTGAAACAGCACGGAGCTCTGTGCGCAGCCACCCAGTCTGAAAATGGGGTCGAATGCGGTTGACTAAGCTCGTGAGTGCCGTTTTTCACAACTCCCCCAGAGCAGCCAGCAGGCAAAAGGTTGGGCCTTTTTGTAGGCGGCGCCGATGTACCTAGCAGGTGGCTGACACTAGTAGAGGTAAGTAAAGTGTAAAATAAAACGTTTACCTAATGTCTTACTATGGAAGTTCTGTAGCTCCACATGTCACGACCGTTGGTTGAATGCTTGAAACATGGTCAAAGTGGAATGCAGCTTGCCCCGTCAGTTGTGCCTAATCCTTACACAGAGTTAAATAACCTTTACAAAAGTTTAGCGTAAAACATAAATAAGGCCAAAACCCTGGTGTATGTGTCACGCCGGGGCTGTTGCGTAGTGTTGAGGCCGCGACGGTTTTCCTGGAACGATACTTCCTGCCGTTTGCTTTCCTAACATTATATATTACTTGTGTCATCTCCTACTCCTGAAAACGCGCCGCAAAATGGCCAAAAAAGACTTCTAGTCAAACAGAATCATGTGCCATGGACGTACGAAGTACGCTGCGGAAGCGGATGCTTGCAAGAACAACACCTGTTCATGTAGAACATCCTGGTGGTGCTTCGTGGGTCGCCAAAATGGTCTGGCTGCGACAGCCCGACGCAACACCCACCGTCCATTCTCCCTGTCGCCTCCTGAAAAAATCAAAGCATGCGTTGAGATTCGGGACTCAAAGGCTATGAGATGATATGGTTTCCATGAATGTCCTAAGGAAACGCCAGTCCTCCGCATAGGTAAGCAACACGTCATGTCATGGCTCCTTCCACAAGCCCAAGCCACACGCTATACATCATCCTTGTCCAGGCAGCTTAGAAAGTGCAATATTGACATCCCCGGCTCCTTAGCTTGTATTAATTGTACAAACGTTCCTTCACCATGTCCTATTTGGATTTACCCCTATAACGCGTACAATAGGCCGAGACAAGGGTGCATGATCATGCTAGCCCGCGACCCTTTTATTAACCTTTAACCGCGGGCCGACACACGCCGGCGCAGCCAGACTTTCAACCGTTGTGCCTAGGTCTCACCCGAATCTGCGACATTGATGCCACGTCGACCGTCAAGTAAATCGTATAGTCAACGAAACCCTCCGCGCCGCGCCGCTTTAGCGGCACCCTACGACGCTATCCCAAATCCCAAACAAGTCCCCTACCACCAGCCCTTGGAATGCAAAATTTGACAAACCCCCGAGATAAGTTCCCCTTGTTACTGTTATGCACTCGGCCGCGACGCAAATTGGCGCAAGCTTTGCAGCAAATGGTGTGTCCTGGATATTATACATATATGCATATATACTCCCCAGGCCATTACAAGTCAATATGTTGAGCCGTGTTTAGCTGTCACGGATTTCGTACCTTAAAACAAATAGTCAACAGGCAAAGCAAAAACAAGTCATGCTCACGGGCGTCATTAGCTAGGTCACTCCACAGGTGAGTCACCAACTGCTCAATTTAATACATCAAACACAAATCGCCGCAGCTGCTCATCATGCGTTTAGAAACTGTGTTATGCTACTTTTTACGCAGTGATGAGGACAGTGTTTTGAAAAGTAAAGGCGTTTTGCTACAAAAGCTATGAGTATACCAAGGTAGGGAATTTATTTGCGTCGTCTGGGGAACCCACCACCTGCAGAAGCTTCTGCCATTTACCCGCCGCCGACAGCTAAACAAAAAAGGCTTTGTCTTTTTCTACCTTTTTCCCGCTTCCTCTCTCTTTCCAGCCCCCCAGTGGCAAAGTGAATCTGAATATCACACAGCTAGATAACATCACACGGAAGCACCAGCTTGTTGCTCTCTCATCGTCGCCTCCAGCGGCTAAAAAGCGGGGATCCAAAAGAATTCTTTTCTTAAACGCTGATGAAAAGCTGCTGCCTGCCGCTGCGCTTTGTGCTACCCCCGACACGTTTTGGAAATAGACAGTGCTGCTGGAGCCCACTGTAACAATCACACACACAGTGTGCCGCGCCAGCTGCACGACGCCGATGATCTTACCGAGTTGTTTTCACGCGGCTGTGCGGGGCGCACGAAACGGCAGGCGAAGCAGGGAAAGCACGATTATATTATTTTCTATCTTACAGGCAAAAGGATCCTCGCCTGAGAAGCCGGATCACCGACGCAAACAAACACGTCTCCTTACCGCGGCCTGTGTTTAAATATATTATTGTCGGTCGGCATACTGGAACTGCTGCAAGTATATCTATATATTATACTTGCACTATAGCCAATACTTCGTTCCAATCGTAGGCATATCTAAAAAATATATGTTTCCCTGTCGCTTTGAGAAAGCAAGCTACGCTGCACCGCTGCATTACGGAGTACGACGACCAGAGCAGTACAACAGCAGTAGTCAAACAATTTATATTCAATGGGGATAACTATGGGAAAAATTATTGGTAAGCAGCTTCACAAGGGCCGTACAAGTAGGGTAAAGCCACAAGCGGTCTTCGCGAGTGTATGGATGTGATTCTCCCTGGCACGTAGTACACTGCAGCGCCTCCAGCAGCTCCTCCATACATTTCTTCCTCCTCGACCCGACACGTCGTTTCTTTCATCGAACCACCACCCTAGTTGTCAAGCTCCGCCTCGTCACCAGCTACTTCCGCCACGTCCGGGTGTGTGCGTGTGTTTGGCCCTCTCCCCTTTCCCCTTACTTCCCCCCTCCCCCCTCCCCGGCTGCCTCAACCCCCGATCAACGGCGGCCACCGCCCCGGTCCCGTCCGCCACCACCGCCACCTCCCGACGGCCCTCCTCCCCTTCCCCCGGCGAGTACAAATTTCCTAGACGCTCCTCCTGTCGCCACTCCAGCAGGAGTCTGCCTGCTCCCGTGCCGGTCACCGCCGCCGCCACCGCCGCCGCTGCCACGCCACCGTCCTCGTGCTGCCTCCGCATCGCCATCCGGCTCTGCCTCCGCGCTGCGCTTCAGCTGCCTCTGCTGCTGCTGCTGCTGTTGTTGTTGTTGTTGTTGTTGGTGGTGGTGGTGGTGCTGGTGATGTGGCGACCCATGGTCCGCTCCGAAACCTACACCACCTCCATTTCCTTCTGCCCATGGGGCGTGTTGTTGTCCCTGCCCCTGGCCCTTGCCCTGACCCTGCTGTCGTTCCTTGACGATGACGAGCCCCGGTACTCCCTTGAGCCCCATCTTGCCGACTGTCTTGGCTAGCAAGCCCGGCGGTGTGGGGCATCCCAGCACCTCCGCCGCGTACTGGTTGGCCAGGGCAACCACCTGCTCGGAACGGAACCTGCACACGTGGCGAGAGAAATGGAAGAGGCGGCAGGAGGAGATCGCACGTGGGCGAGGGAAATGGGAGAGGCGACCAGAGGGGAGGAGGGGAGGAGGGGGCTAAGACGAAGCATTCGCGAATGAAGCAGATACCACAGATGACGGGTAGTCCATGAAAAGACAAATGCTGCATCAGGAATATTTACTGGCCAGTGATGACTTGAGGAGAGGAGGGGAGGAGGAAGGGGTTAAGGGGGAGGAGGGAAGGAGGACGGTGTTAAGGGGGAGGAGGGGGAGGAGAACTTGGGTGGTGTTAGCCGGGCGATAATGGAGTGGAGGGGGAGGAGAGAACTAAAAAGGCGGAAACGAGTGAATTCCGTATGTATGTATATGTATGTATGCATGTATCTATGTATATATATACTGAGATATGTCTGTATGCATGTCTGAATGCATGTCTGTCTGTATGTAACTAACACCTACTTGAGGACCTCGTGGCTCTTATAGTAGCCCAAGAAGCTCTGATACGCACGACCTCGGGCTTCAGCGTCCAGCCCGCCCAGCGCACGAGCCAAGGTCCCGGCTGGGTCGCGAGCCAGCGCCGCCGGTAGAGCCTGCTGCTGCTGCTGCCGCCGCTGCTGCTGAGACGGCAATGGCAGCTGTAGCGGCCGTAGCGGCGTGATAGGCAAATCCCGGAGGCGGTCCAGGAAGCGCTGCTCAAAGTCCGCTAGCAGCAGAGTGCACTGACCTGGTCGTCCAGCTCGTCCAGTACGACCAGCGCGGTGGATGTACTGCTCCCGGTTCGATGGAGCGCCCAGCTGCGAATATCGGGTGGTGGGGCAACGGTGGATAGCAAATAGAAGAACCGCGTCTGTGTGTCTGTCTGTCTGTCTGTCTGTCTGTGTGCCTAGTTCCCCTCCTCAACCCCCCCACCCCACTCCACCCGCACCCTCCACCCGCACCCGGTCCCGTCGTCGGCCCCTGCAGTACATCCCGTCCACCTGAGCGGTAGACGCCATTGCGGACATACACCACATACACCTACTCACATACTTACCCACCTACATACCTACCTACCCACCTACACCTCCACATGCACCTACGCTTACTTACAAGCCCCCGCACCTGGATGACATACGTCACATTGGGGTAGTCCACTCCTCGCGCGGACACATCCGAGCTGAACATCACCAGTCGGGACTCGGAGCGGAACTGCGCCGAGGCCCTGTCCCGCTGTGCCTGACTCTTGCGACTATGGATCTCCAACACGCCGGACAAACCCGCGGACTCGAACAACCGCGCGTAAAAGGCCGTCAGATGGGCGGTGGGCAAGAACACAATAATCTGCCATTGCCGTACAACAACGTACATCATTGCCGTACATGCATGATTATGTATATACATGTATCGAGATGTTATAGTATAAGTGTAAAACGCAGCCGCAGTCGCCACATACGCCGTCGCCGTCGCCACCGTCACAGACATGACGTGGAGTCGCCGTACGTGATGGGGTGCACCGGAATCGCGGGGAGAGAGAGGGGCGGAAGGGGAGGAAGAAAAGGTTATGGGTGAAATAAATAGAGCCTTAATAGGAGGAAAGGAAAATGATCGTTATGTATAAACATGATAACTTCACGGGAAAAGGGGGAGGGAGGACGTAACACCAATCTAGGACGTGCGCATGGAGGAGGAGGAGGAGGTAGAGGAGAAAGGGGGAAGCTTACATACATACATACATGCATACATACATAATTTTACGTTTGTACAATCCTGGTAACCCCTCGCCCCTCCCCGCCACTTCAACCCCGAAACCCCCCTTTCCATTACACCTCCCCCCCTCCCCCCCACTCTCCCTCCCTCCCTGCCATCCATTCCCCCATCCGCCTCTACTACATCCCACCTTGTAGTCAGGTTCTTGCGCTATGTGTGCCGCAATGAGCCCCAGCAGCTGCAGCGCCAGCTCCCCTCCCTGCAGCGGCACCACCAGGCTGCTGGCCTCCACGTGTGTGTGGGTGGCGACATCCTCACCCACCGCGTCAACATATCTGCAGGAGAGGGGAAGGAGAGGAACGTAGTATGTTGGGGTTCCAAGCACAAGAAAGCAATTACGGGCAAATGGTTCCCTGTTTGGCGAGTGGCGGGAGAGGAGGGGAAATACTGTGGGTATTCAGGTAACATTTGTATGTGGTCGGGTGGGTGACCGGGGGGGGGTTAAGGAGGGGAGTGTGTATGTCCGTGCGTGTTCGTCCATACGTATGTGTGTGTATGTGTGTGCTTTGGAGGAAAGGAAAGGGGATTACGTGATATGAAGGCGCGACTCCTCTGCCTCCGACGGCGACGATGATACCATTGGCCCCTACCACGCCCGATCCAAGCCGATTGCGGCCGATTAACTATTCTAGGCCAGGCACCCCACCACGCAATTGGGCCCTGCCAAGCCCTCTGGGTCCCTTCTCAGCCCCTTCTCTGCTCCCGATGATGGTACCTGTGTTGTCGCTTCAGAGCCACATCCGCCAGGCTCTTGACGTCCGCCGGAAATGTGGCGGAGAAGAGAAACGTCTGACGTTGGGAAGTTGGCGGCAAGGAGCCCAGGATCTTAGAAATCTGCGGCCTGATAGGGGTGGGGGGTGGGTGTGGGTTGGGGAACGGGTTGGGGAAGGGGTTGGGGAGGGGGTTAAGATGAACCACTGGAGAATGGAGCAGATACCGAGGGGGGGCAGGGGAGGGAAAGACGAAGCACGAATGAGTGAAGGTGTGCTGCCAGGGCAAGAGTGTACGAAGAGTAGAACTGACCAAAAAAGGGGGGAGGGGGGAGAGAAGGGGAAGAGGGGGGGAGAGGGGAAGCATAAGCAAGGAAATCAGAAGTGAGCTGCCGGCGGCGTCCAGAGAGAGAAAGGGAGAGGGGGACCATCCACCGGGCGTCTGAAGCCTAAAGCCCGAAGTCCTGGGCCCGAAGTCATTAGCGGTGTCGTTATCGACCCGTGGTTCCGGAAGTAATAATGGGAAGCGGGTGCTAGGATTGGTGTATATGTTGTGTATATGGGGAGGTGCTTCTCCTCCTCCTCCTCTCCTCCGCCCCCCCCCCACACACCACTACTAACCCACGTAATCCTACAACTAGTAGTAGTACTACTCCTACTGCTGCTGCTACTACTACTATTGCTACTACTGCTGCTACTACTATTGCTACTATCATTGCTACTATCATTGCTACTACTATTGCTGCTACTGCTACCTGAAGCCCATGTCCAGCAGGTTGTCCGCCTCATCGAGAACTAGGACTCGGGTGCTGTCCAGGAGGGTTCTCAGCGCGGGCTCCTGTACGGCAATGTGCACGGCACGATAAGTTATGTACGACAAAAGGAGGGGAATAACAGCCCTATCGGCGGCGGCGGCGGAAGCGTGTCCTCACATTTATCCCACATATTTTTTTTATTAATTTTGATTTAATTTACGACGTCGTCACATATGTAAGCTGAAATGGACATACACACATACATGGATAAACATACAGACATATAAAACAATGTTCTCCTTCTCCCTCTTTCCCCCTTCCCCCCCTCCTCACGTGCGACTGTGTCATGATGTCCCAGCATCTCCCCGGGGTGGCAATCAGGATGTCGGGCATGCGCCCTTTGATTGCCCGGAGATGCTTTTTGACGTCAACACCGCCGTACACCACCTGCAGTACAGTCGTACGGTGGTAAGAGGGCCGATGGAATTCAGCGATACGGTATGCATACACCGTCCGATGCAAGGCCGGCAAAGTGTGCTATGGCGGGGCGTGTGTCATTGGTTGAAGGGTGATAATGTACGACGACGCTACGAGCCGCACAGCCCATTCCCAATAAATATTACTTGTTTGTCTGTGTGTCAGTCTGTGTGTCAGTCTGTGTGTTTTAGTATGTAAAGTATAAGTGCATATAATTTGTGCTTTTATAATATATTGGATGTTGTTTCCCTCCCTGTCCCCTTCCCTGTCCCCCTCCCTGTCCCCTTCCCTCTCTCCTTCCCTCCCTCTCTCTCCTCCCGGTTTTCGGTTTCGGACTTTCGAAAAAAATGCCTTCCGGCAGTTGATTCCTGATTTCCTTGCAGCATATGATTATAATGCCCCCCTCCCGACCCCTCCTCCTCCTCCTGCCGGCTCTCCCACGCGTCCACGCCCACTAACGCGGCAGCATATGATTACGATTCCCCCTCCTCCCCCCCCCTCCTCCACCACCTGCCTTTGGCTCAACCTGAGCCCTCACTTCCCGGCTGCCTGGCTGGCGGGTTACGCGCGTGGATCCCTTCTGGCCTTTCACCCCCTCTCTCCCCACCCACCATGGAGTGCAGTTCCGGGTGGAATGTGAGCATCTTGTGCGCCTCCGTTTGAATCTGACGAGCCAGCTCCCGAGTGGGACTCAGGACCAGAGCTGACACCTTGCCAGGTGGGGCGCGGCGGGCAAGAACCTGTGCATGCGTGTGTGTGTGTGGGAGGAGGTTGGGGTTGGGGTGGGGTTGGGGGGAAAGAATAACCACGAACGAGTGAAGCTGCTGCCAAGGAAAGAGGTTCAGGGGGAAGGGTTTTCCGTGTGACGTGGAGGTGGAGTCGGGGTTGGGTTTGGCATGGAGACAGGGTTTTGAAACGGAACGAGAGGGCGAGGTAGACGTAGAAGTCGAGAAAAAGAACAAAAATGTGACAACAAAAGCCAATGTAAAATCTGAATCCAAATCCGCAAGCTGTGTTCAAAGAAGCGTCCAAGGCAGAAGATCCAAAATCCAAATCTAGCTGACCAGAGTAACGGGGTGAGTAGTAGCATCGCTCTAGGGGCGGTCCAGGATTTCTCAAGCTATGTATATATATATATATATATATATATATATGTGAGTGTAGGGTTGTTGGTGGGCTCACCGTGAGACGCAAGACGTTATACGACGCACCTTTTCAATGGTTGGAATGATGAATGCCAGGGTCTTCCCAGTGCCGGTCTTGGCCTTGGCGATGACATCCTCGGGCCCCAGGCACAAGGGGATCGAGGCGGCTTGCACATGGGAGCAGTGCTCGTAGCGGAGCACCTCAGATAGCGCCCTGAAACGCAACAGGCGCCCGCATCAAGATATATAAGGTCTTAGGCGCCCGCATCAAGATATATAAGGTCTTAGGCGCCCGCATCAAGATATAAGGTCTTAGAAGATAATAGGTTCACCAAGGTTCATACAAGGATAAGCAAGGGATGAGTTTTTTTGTCTCATGCTCATGCGGGCCTATGAGGAAACGTGATAAGTAGTGCAAAAAAGGTGATGCGATGCGATCCGACCGGCTGGATGGATGGATGGATGGTGGCCGAGACCGTGACCGTGTCATGTGAGGCCAAGACCGTGCCGACCGTCATCACGGTCGATTACGTTTACGGGATAAGGCCCCTCTTGTCGCCGAAACATCACTAACAGAGAGACAACACGATCCTGGGTTTTGCTGGGTGGGTGGGTTGATGTGGGTCGTGGGTCGTGGGGCTGGGCTGGGCTGCATTCTCATGTGCTTTCAGGAGGGGTAAAATGGGTAAACTGTGGTGCAAGCAGCATATGCGGGCATGGGCTGGGCTGGGCTAAGTTTGAAATTGGCACTGGTGGCTGGAAGCCGAGGAGAGGCCTGGCAGGCAGTTCTAGTAGTTCTAGTAGTAGATGATACCGGAAGCGCCAACTGTAGCAGCAATATGCCAAAGAAACTACACTTCTTCGCAGTGTTGCGAGGTTTTTGCGACTCATACGTGAGTTGCGAGGATATGTGTCTGCCGGTAGGGAATCCTGACTTTTGCGTGCTATTTGTCGTCTTGGGGCCTGGGATGGAGACAGGGCGGCCGGCACGCAAAGTGAACAGCGGCCGGTCCTACCCGCTCGGCCTAATCGGTTCATTCCAAGATTGATAACCAAATATTGGAGATTATAAGCAGCGGATTTGGGCATGACGCTGTAGAAACCTCTGGAGAACCGTTACGGCTTGGCTGGCCACCTTGCGTAGACATCGCGTATTGTTGCATCTTTGGCTGCTGAAGGGAGTAGGTTGTGCTGGTTCGGGACCCAAATGCAACCGAAGTCTATGATACTGTGCAAAGCCTTTCCTTGCAGCTGGTTAAAGGCAAACGGCTGAGAGCGAACCCTAACCCGTAATTCGCGCGCGCCTCACGGGCCGCACCGTTTACTTGCTGAAGAGATGGAAAATTCTTCGAATTTCTTGTCCGATAGGTACTTCTGATCCACGGTTGGCAAAGGCACATCTTCGTCCCCAGAGAGACTGGACACAGAAGCATACCCCTTAGCTGGCGCCGCCGCCGCCTTAGCAGGCGGCAAGCGACTTGGATGTTGCTGCATATCGTGGCTAGATTTTGGCGTCTGGTATATCTGTGTAGTCGCCTGGCCCGCACGAAGAGTTTGAACAACGGAGCGCATTCTGACTAAACTAAAGCGGCCGGCGGCACAAGCTCCTGCCTGGGCCACGCGTTCTTGGAAACTTAGTCGCACCATAAAGCAAGGGTTTGCGAGAATGTTTAAAGTCCAGTCAAGCTGGCACGTACGCAGCCGCACAAACGGCTGCAAGCGGTTGACTAGCGCTGAGAGAGCCGTTTGCACTAGTAGAGATTGATGGAGGTTGAGAACAATCTAAAAGATGCAGCTACCTTTCCTCAGAGAAAGATATTATCCTTCCTCTTTTGTTATGTTGTTATGTTACAAGCTCGCGAGAGCTCGTAAGGCCCAGACGAGCCATGGACCGGGAGTTTTAGCGTTGCAAAAAACAAAGAAAGTAACAAAAAAGGAAAAATAAGGGTTATGAAACCCATCTGCGAGAGAAAACAGCAATTGCGTAGGCGACCCCAGGCTTACCAGTGCTCGGGCCGAAACCTAGACTGCGTTTCCGAAGCAGTATCCGATTTTTGACCTTCCTTCGAAACCTCGTGAAACCACCGGTAACTGTCGGAAACCTCCAAATGCTGCAATTTGTTCTGTCTATGAATGGCAAACGTCGTAAATGGGCCTTACGCGCCGAGGCGCATGCTTAGATACCCTCAGACAGCTCTCAGGTCTCGTGGTCACCCGACTGTCACCTACCCAAAGTTCGCACAGGCCTAGAATATTGGGGCGGCTCAGGCGTACACGGAGTCTGTCAGGCGAGCACGGCGTCTGTAGGGGGGGCTCAGGCGCGCACGGCATCTGGCCTGCTTTCGGCATTTTTACAGAGCAAGAGCGGAGACAGTACTGTCGCTTGCTGTGATGTTGTGTATATACTGTGTAGGACATGTGCCTAACCCTCACTTTGCCTTTACCCCTTGCGTGTCTCGCTCTAGCTCTCTTGGCGAGGTGCGTTTCCTCAGGAAGAGATAGCCGTGGTGGAGGGTGAGGGAGGGAAGAGCCTAATACTGGCAGAGCCTAACATGTGGAGGGGGAGGAGGGGGAGGAGAGAGGGCCGTGGTGCAGGGCGAGGGAGGGAAGAGCGTTATACTGGCAGAGTGCGAGAAGGCAGAGAAGAGATAGCCGTGGTGAAGGGTGAGGGAGGAGCAAGTTGCTACAGCATGGAGAAAATGAGTGGAAGTCAAACATGCTCCCTACCTGCCTCATGACAGCATTGTGAGTTCGAATCCCACATGGATCTTGGTCCAACGATGTAACGACACAAGGCCCAACCGAGCATCCCGGGTTACGCCTTTGCTGTGTTCCAAAGGATGTGCACGCAACCCAAGTCTACTGGACAGCATGAGGCTTTGGTAATCTGGAACTGGGTCGCAGGGGGCTGTGGAGCCCTCTAGGGAAGGGTGCCCTCTACCTACTGAACCAGTGTTTTTAAGAGTGGTTACTAGGTGGTGACCAAGTTCCCTTCCAGAAGGGAATTATAGGTGACCCAAAACATTTCCTAGTGACCAGAAGGTGGTAAGTAGGAAATGTTTTTGGTCACCTACCAGTAACCAGGTGGTCGACAGGAAATTGGGCCACAGACCCCCCTAGTGACCACCACCTAAAAAGCTTTCTGTACAAAGAATGAGGCTGCCTACCGCCGGGCAGAACACGGGCAGTGAGAAGTTGGTGATAGCGTGAAGTTGGATCTTCGGATCTTCATGGTTGTATTGGGCTCCTGTTCAGCATACTCGCTGGGGACAAAATTTTGTAAGGTGGTAATTTTGCAAGGAACCCCCCTCCACAGTAACCACTTGGTCACTAAAACATTACCACGGTGGAAATGTTTTATAAACACTGTACTGAACTGTTTGGACTCTTCACTCAGACACAGGCCGGCCTGATTGATATGCATGGAATGCCACGTCTAGCGGACTTTTATTTGCAAAGCTTTCGGTATGCGACACAACGTCTTAAAGTGTGAAAGGCACTTGTTGTTTTTGCAGCGATCGGAGATGTCAACAACTGGCCAACTCCACCTCCTACCGAGTTGGTTCCCTTGCTTTAAGTGTAAAATATTTCATTTATTACTAAAAAAACAAATCAAGAAATCTGACGTCCTCTTTTTCTTCTCCCGCCTCGCATTGCAGTGTTTTGAAGGGGCGGACCCTCTAGTCAGGTCGGGCAGGGGAGTTTTGAGGAGAGTTAAAAGAAGGGATTCAACCTCTGATCAACATCATCAGAACCCAATGTAATGGAGCAAAGCTAAAACCCAAGGCGAGGGGCATTCATTTGCAGAGATAAGCCCCATTGCGGAGATGATGTTGGGGGTGTTGCGGAGGTGAAGCTGGTGGTGGAAGATGAAGGGGATTGCCGTGAACGAACAGGCAGGTGGCTGGCAGAGGTTAAGGCCTGACTTCTGCTCCCGGAGTGTCCGGGTTCAACTTCGCCTGCCGACGCCTCGAGCTTCGATGAATGATGAAATGGGCGGTGACCCCCCATCTTATGGACGGTGTAGGGCGTGATAATGTCAACTAGCGAGCTGACCAAGGATTACGTTGATTCGCCGTAGATTCGCTAGATTTGGTTGAATGCTGGTGGTGAGTTGCAGAACCCAACGAATACACATTCTGAAGTCGGATGGGGTGACGGATTAGGGTGCCCCTCTCGCAGGGGAGAGCAGGGAACTGCCTCGGGAAAGGGGGCCGCTGGTGAAGCTATACCACCCTGTAACAACATGAACGGGACATCTGATGGGTCCACACATAAGAAGATAAAAGAGGGCAAGCGTGCAAGATAGATGTCAGCACCATATCAGCACGCAGCTTATATTCCATTGTGTCCGAGATCTGGGCACCAGTTTTTAAAATGCTTCAGCAGGTAGAGGCTCCGAAAGAACCTTGAACAACACCCTTATATCTGCATTTTAGTCCTGCCTTCCCTAATGCCTCCTCCTCCAACTTCACCATCAATCACTTTCTCCCTACCTTCTCTCCGGCCCCTAAAAAACTCAAACAATATTATGAGATCCAAGATAACCAGCGATAAGCCCTCATTTTTCCAGAAGCCGTAATTCTGGCTTCATGACATTTTTCCTTTATGTTTGTTTCGTTCGAGTGTTTTTGGTAAAACTAAAACTGATGACTGCCCACAGGAACACAAGTAGGAAAGGACATAAACTATTTCTTTAGGCAAAAATGACACCGTGCATGTAAATGCTGCAACCGAGGGAGACTCACTCACATCCCAAACACTACCAGGATACACTTTGCCGTGACACGACCCAGAAGGATGTAGAGGATGTAGAGCAGCACACACAGCAAAGGAACAGTAGTAGCAGCAGCAGCAGCAGCACACAGCAACCAAAAGTAATATCAGGAATTTCTTCCTTTTTTTTCGCCCATGTTAATCAAAACTCCCTCGTCGCCGCTTTGTCCACTTCCCAATTCCGCCTCCACCACTTCTGGCGGGAGAATGCAATGGCCCCGACAAACAAAGTCATAGAAGCACATTCACATAATAATAGGCACAGGTATTCTTCAGATGCAAACCACAAACAAACAAGTACATCGACATACATACATGCATGCATAATGCATATACCCCTACCTGCAGCCACGCAGTAACAGAGCAGCATTCTTAGTAACTGCACCAACTGTAGCTCACAGGCTCACAGAAGAGAGAAAGGCTGCTGGTGGCCTCTGGTGCTCTGCTTCCTTTTCTCCCTGTCTCTGGTTTGTCATCTCCTCTTCCCTACAGACACAGACAGTTAGACATCCTGACAGACAGACAGACAGACAGTTGGAAGGGAGAGGCCTATCTATACCAAAACGAAGCACAAGGAACTCAGCGGCCCACATCGGCAGGATTCACTTTGAAACCCCGCCTACCCACCGGACCTACCGTAACAACTCAACCCATGGAAGGGAAAGCTAAAGAAGGGAAAGGAGAAAGTAAGACAAGTAAGACTGAGCGTTTTAGGGGCCCCCCTCCACATCACTTGGGTATGTATTTATTCATTTACACACCCACATGGACAGTCCACATATACAGATACAACTTCTTCAGCCTCTCCTGAGAGTCTCTTCGTCGTCTGCCGCCACTACGTCGACAACAACAAGAACAACCACCACAACAGACGGGGACGTGGAGCCCCGCGCCTGCCCCTGCGCTGTGTTTCGGTCCGGTTAGGGCCCCGCCGGTGCTCTCGGTCGTTTCTAGGGACGATCCGCCCCCCACAGTGTAACATCCCACCACCAACAGCAACAACATGTACAGGAACGCACAACAACGACCAATAGGGACAAAAAAAACCAACAACGCGAAGATACATATTCGATAGGTTAGGATTGTTCTTAAGACGCACATTTGATCGGCACCAGACAAAAAACGTCATCAACATCACCAATGCAAGTAATGCCATTCCCTTTCCTTTCATGTCTGGGCCTGCACTAGTACTCCCCCCGAGTTGAGCACCAAGTTAGAGAATCTCAAACACTGCAACACCCTACCCCACCCTTACCCTACCCCCATACCGTGCTCAGATAAAACAGACAGATATACATACCGTGACTGGGTGGGACACAAGACACACATACATACATGCACACACATACACGCATGCTCATGCGCACTGCTGTAGTATCGACATATCGACAATGTCGTGCTCTGCGAAAATACAGCAGTTTGTTTTTACCAACAGTCAGGCTTTGGGACTCACGCCACTGCTGCTTTTAGGCGCTCCGGAACCGAATCACGGCAGCTTTAAAGAACACCAAGCAAGCAGGCGTGCTGTTGGACAGATGCAAACAAACAGACAGACAAATGCAGCCTCTGCCAGGACTCCCTGCCGACTCGAGCGGAGCGCCGTGATGTAGAGCCTGTAATACAGGCTCTGAGTATTACCAGCGTATTACCAGCTGTATGTGTGTATGTATGTATGTATGTATGTATGTATGTACCCAAAATTCTGAATGAGGCAACGCAACGCAACGTAACGCAACCGGCACACCTGCAGCTGTTGTACGGCAATATCTGCGCTTCACTTCACTTCACCACCGCACCAGCACCAGCACCACCCAGGAGCACCACTCCAAAGCTCTTCCTCTTTGGGGTGGAAGACACACATGTGCCCGGTGACGGAAACCCTAAAAGGTAACCCCCTCACCCCCAAAGGGCTCCCGTAGCCACTGCACCACTCAGCATCTCAGCACACCACATCACTCTCACCCAAACCACACACATTATAGCCATAATGACAACACTACGTTGCACTAGACATCACACCACACCACAACACAAATGCACGACACAACACGATTGTGTATCGCAATACAACACAGCACAATACATAACACCCCCCCGGTGGAAGAGCAAAACACACTGCCATCAACACCTCATCACCTCCTCGTTCTTCTCTTTATTCTCAACACAACATCTTTTTTTTCCGTAGTCGCGGTATATTAACCCGTTAACCCCCCCCAGTTTACACATTTTTAGAAAGAAAGCTCAAAAAGAAAATCCAAAAAAAGAAAAACAGGACAAAAAGCAAAATATTATATATAGAGTGCTGGAGCCAGGATCCTCCGGAGTCCGTTGTTAAGAAAGAAAACAGAAAACACAGCCCTAGTAGCTGGCCTCGCTGAAAAGGCCTCTCAATATGCTGGTGAAGCGCCTTGGCGCGTACTTGTAGACGATATGTGTGTGCCGTTTACTATATACCAGCTGTATATTGCATTACAACACCTGATGTTCTATAACACTAGCAGCAAAGTGTGGCCCAATTGCGTGCGAGGGGCACTCAGTGCCCAAGGACGCTAACAACAGCAACAACAAAAAAAAACTGTGACAACAGCGATGGACGAACAAACACCTCAGCGTCTGCGGTCACATCTCAGCGAGAAAAGGAAGATTCGGGTGCTAGCTAACATGCCAGTCAGGGTTTGTCTTCTTCCTTTCTTTCTTTCTTTCTACAGGCAGTCAACTGCCCCCCCGCGGCGTACAGAATCTCAAGACTCGACATGTGGTTGGTAGGTAGGTAAGTGGGTAGGTGGGTAGCTCTACAAATGCAAACGACCCGATGGGGTAATGCGAATCAAGACGCAGACGGACAGACAAACAGACAAGACAGACCCCCTCAGCACACGCACACGCACGCACACACAGTATCTTGTCGCATCTCATCCTCCTCTTCCTTCCCCTCTTCCTCCTCCTTTTCCTTCACACCCACATCTTCTTCCTCCGTCCCTATCGGGGCTCCTGTTGGAGAGACTCCAGGATGATGGGGGCCCGGGTGGGGGGGGTGGGGGTGGGGAAGAGAGGGAGAAGGGCCCCCCCTGCCTTCTTTTCGGATTTGGTTTCTGTCCTAGCCCCTCCTCTTCCGCCATCCAGGGTACGAAAGAAAACAGCGCCGCAGCCTCCTAACGTCCCCCTCGCATCTCCCTGACCTGGCTGCATCAGTAAAGCCATGTGAGGGCGTCATTAGGGCCCAGCTAATCAAGAGCTGCTACTGCTACTGCCGCTGCTGCTGCCATTACTACTACTGCCACCACTACTACTACTACTACTGCAGCTGCTACTGTTGTTTTTGTTGTTGCTGTTGTTGTTGCTACTTCGGCGTCAATAACAAGTGCATGTCATAATAATAATAATATTGTTATTAATATGTGCACCCCGGTAAATGTGCTACATCACCCCACATAGGATGGACACCAAGACCGAGCGTGTCGTGATACCGCCGTACCACCGCCGTACTGCGTCATGCATCCGCAGTCAGTCTTTTCCCCCCCACACACACAAACCCACACACACACCCACAGAGACAGAGACAGCTCGTGTTAGGAAATCGTGTAGGAGGAAGTGGTGCATGGTGTGTAGGCGGATCCGGAAAGAATGACTGCCCTCTTCGGCATCCATTTTTAGCGGTCTGTAGAATCCATACCACCCTCCCTCCCTCCCTCCTTCCTACTTTCCATTCATTCATGCATGCATGCGTGAATCGACCAATGATCGACGCGATAAAGAGGGAGAGAGATAAGAGAGAGTACTCCCCAACAAGGCGACAGCGGAAGAGGCAATGGGAAAAGGAACAGATGCCAATGCCAGAGACTTGTCCCGCACCGACAGCATTGCCGTCCGGTCGCGCCGCCGCATGAAGCAGGGCGGGATCCGCAAGATTGATTTCGGCAACTTTGATACTGCCGCTGCTGATCGACGTCATTTTGTGGCGGCGACGGCTGTAGCGGCGACGGCTGTAGCGGCGACGGCTGTAGCGGCGACGGCTGTAGCGGCGATGGCTGTAGCGGAAATGGCTGTGGTGTCACCAAACCTAACTAGGGCTGTGTCGAGAAGGCTTCTGGGCACCTAAGGAGCGTGAGATCAATCCCACGCGACCCCCAGCCGTCAAAAAACCTTCCACCTCTTCCTCCACCGCCGTCGTCGCCGCCGCCGCCGCAACCGCCGCTGCAACGGCAGCGGCGGCATGCGCTTGTCCGTGATGCCGGACGTCTTGGCAATAGTGATGTTGTTGTTGTTGTTCTTCTTCTTCATCTTCTTGATTATGATTATGGTGATGATCACGGTGACACGGATGCTGCCCCTGGTGTGATTGGGCCTCATCCAGTGCCCTCGTACCACCGCCGCCGCCATGTCCTCCGGGCGCAATCATAAGGCACGGCATCTGACCCGACGGGCCCCTCGGAGCTGAAGCTCCGTCGCCTCCGCGAAGTCGTTCTCCTGGCCGACCCGTCAGGCCGCCTGCCTTACATGGAGCAGCTGCGGCGGCAGCAACCCCAGCGGCCGCTGTGGATGCCATCGCTGGCGTCACCGTAGCTGCTGCCGCATCTGCCGCCAATGCACTGCGTTCTAAAGCTGCTGTTGTGTAAGGTTGACGTAGTAGCTGCCTCCCGAGTTCGAATCCCACCACTGTCCGGAGAGGTTGGTGGTGGCGTTGCAGCGCCGTTGCCGTCGCCGCCGCCGCCGCCGCCATCACTGCTACCGGTCTAGGATGATGATGAGGAGGAGGGCCCCAAGCGGTTGAGGAGGCGGCGGCGGTGGCGGCGGTGGAGATATGAACCATCGAGCCACCGGATACCTCCACTTCCGCCGCCACTCCGGCGCCGCCGGCGCCGCCACTGACGACGCAACGCTGCGGGGCAGGCCGCATGGTATTACCACCACCAGTTGGGCATCGCCCGCCTGCAGCAGCAGCAGCAGTAGCACCTGCAGTAGCAGGAGCTCCGCTTCCAGACGCCTCCGTCTTCGCCAGCACCACGCAAGAACCCGTCCCACCTCGCCGCCCAACATCTTCATCACCTGCGCCAACGCTAGCGGGTGATGCCTGCCCAGAAACCCCCGCTTCCGGTGCGGAAGTCGTACGCGCTCCGGCGGCCGTCGTCATCGTCGCCGCCGTCGCGACACTGACGCGGCCTACAGCCCTAGGCGCGCTAGGCGTGTTCGCCAGCAACTCCTCACAGGCGCGCAGGAAAGCATGTGCCTCAGCAGCCGGAATCACACCTGTCATCGTACCAACCCCAGCCCCACCGCCGCCGCCGCCACCGCCACCGCCAGCTGCAGCAACAGCAGCAGGCGCTGCACGCCGTAGCGGCACGGCAAGGTCACGGAATACCGGCGACATCCAGCGATTGATTGTGCAGCTGAAGGTCCGCCACGGGGGAAGCTGTCGATGGCTAATTTCAAAAGAGGCATGCAGCTCCGCGCAGAGCACCTGCACCAGCTGGACCAGCCGGGCTGGAGGACCCACGAAGAGCGGCGGTAAGCACTCCCAGATGCCCCTGTGGAGGTGGCGGAGGCGCCACGTATATAGCAGTGAGTTGGGTGGTAGGCATTGAGTCGATACGTGACCGGGTTCTTATGTGACCGGGTGGTGGGGGGGGGGGAGAGGGGGGAAAGACGAACCACAAACGAGTGAAATTGC